ATAAAAAATAAAATAAAATTAACCCGTAAATTAACCTATAACCTGTTAGGATTAAGTTACTGTTAGACTTTTTCAATCTGTAACTCATTTATAACCTAACCCACATAATTCGTCACTCAAATTGATCCAACCCAAACTCGACCCAATCCTCCCGTTTGTCAGTCTAATGACGTTTTACTTTTGTTAGGTCTAATGGCGTTTTACTTTGGCTCATAAAAAATAACATTACACAAACTGCAAGAATCATAATCACGAAGAGAGAGAGAGAGAGAGAATATATATATATATATATATTGAAACTAGACAAAATCCTTGTCCCATTTGCCAAAGTTGATCCACTCTGGAAACCAGAAGTTGACTATTATGGAGATTTAGACTTCCTTCCGAATCAAATTATGCCAATATCTCAGAGCCCTTTTCCAAGATAATCAAAGGATTTGATGTTGTTCTGTTGTTTAATTCTGTTTGCAAAATGTGCAGAACAAAATAAGGCCTGCAAGAAATTGCAAAGCTGCTTTGTCAGTAAACCAGAACCTGTCAAGGTATATATAATCTTCCTGGATGAAGCAACGGCGGCAGTTGATGAATTGCTACTTACTAGTTATATGAATTGCTTTAGTTTACACTCGCTGATGGCTTTGATGCATGACAAGTATGAAAACTGGAAAGCACAAAAGCACCCGTTGTAGTACCAAATGTAAATTAATTTAGTTTCTAAACAAAAGCTAAAAGAGGCTTTAAAATAGCAACCTAATGCAAATTAATGCTGAAAACTCTTGCCTGTTCTTTATGATTAAATGATGCAGATACTCCAATAGCCCTCTACTTCAGATTTCATTAAGTTTTCTATTTCTGTTTGCAGCAGGTGCAGAACAAAACCTTTAAATTATCAGCATATAAGGCCTGCAAAATGGAAGCCTCTCTATTAGTAAACCATACGTATCTAGGAATCTTCCTGGATGAAGCTACTACACCCAGAATTAAAGCATTGCTACTTACGAATTACATTGATGCAAATTGCAAAGAGAGAATCATTAACTTTAGAAAAATGAACCACATGTAGTCGAGTCTCACCACAAAAATCGGCCTCAGGTTCTACAAAGTATGAATCTGAAGCAGAGTGTTCTTTGCTATTAGAAGACTCTCTTCCCAGCTTGAAATTAGATACATTCTTATCTGCATTCACACAACAGTTAATGATATAACTTGTGTTTGAGTTTATGAAAGTTCAAAATAAATACGACTGGATTCAGGTATTTCAAAGAATCTGACAACTGCTATTTTAAGTCTTGATTAGCCATGCACTGGTAGATAAGTGCTTGTGGCCTTCACTGTCAAGTTTGCATGAATACCTCTCATAAGAAGTTTAACCTCAAAATTTAATGGAGTCACAGCTTAATGTTTAACTTAAGGGAACGAACTGAAAAGAATTGTAGGGGTCAGAGGTGCAGACCTTTACGAGAAACTCCTTAAAAGATGTTGTTGGGAAATTTCAAGGGCTCAGATTGTTTGGCATAAATGATGCTTCACTCTTCTTCTCTTACTGCATTCAACTTCCTTTCATATGATTTGTCATAGAAAGTTCAGTAAGAACAGATGTAACAGGAAATTATATTAGTGAACTTTACAGGATAAATCACTCTTTATTGGACTTATTTCTTCCTTTTAAGGCTAAGACAATGCAGCTACCTGCAGTTAAGATGACAAACAATATGGCAATTGATGCTTTTAATAAAATAGAACCTTCCCTGCAATTAAGTCATTGCTGCCGCAAGAGTACAATTCAAGTCCCCTGCAAATGTTTTATAGATGTTTTAGTGGTAACTTCACTATCAGTTCATAAAAAAGAAACTACATAAAGGAAGCATTGTGTTCAAGTTTCTTTAGAACGTACAATTTTGGGTCAAATTGCATTACGTATATTGCAAATAGAAGCTCAAAGGCGGACCTTTTTTTTTTTTACAAGAGTAATGGTTAGGAAGTTAATTTGAATTAGTTGTTAGCAACTGAAAATTCGATCCCCAGAACGGGTGAACATTCCACTTCCTCAAATGAGGCGCACGACCATCAGACCGCATTTGGTGGAGTTCACGACGGTGGTAGAACTCGAAACTCTGACTACTTTCACCCAAGCACTTAAGGCTCAGGGTCGAACCATTAGGCCTAAAGGCCCGGTTCGGCTGACCTTAATTATGATTGGACTTGAAGGAAAATGAATTTGGAACTTCACTGTTGCATCATTTAGGACTGGTAATGAAAGCTAAGAAGGAAAATTTGGGCAGCCATGCCCAGTATGTGTTCCTGCAAAATTTTAATTAAATTTAGAAAATCCATATAGAAGCAACTCAATTTATTAAGTTCCAATTTCAATGCGTAACACAGAAACAGAATAATGAATATGAGGAAACACAGGAGCCTAAACCTACAGCATAAATTAGTATTTTGACTTTATGAAACTAAAATCCAAAATCAGGGTCATGGCAAATACAGACCTGAAAAATCAAATCTTGAAGCTCCTATCCTGCAAATATATGTTAATGCAAATTCTTTGTTTTGTCTCTTTAATCCATCTCCGTTTCAAAAAGGGCATCCACCAGCTGACAATATGGCGAGCACATGGATGAGAGAGATGTTATGTCTGCAGTACAACAGGAAGAATCTTAATGACAATCCAACAAGATGAAAATCAGAAAACAAATTTACAATCAGATTCATGCAAGACAGGCATATATCTGAAACCTAACTTAAGAAACAAAATATCACTTAAATTGAATCATACCATATGGGAAGTGAAATCCCCAAATCTTATTTTGACCTCGAGACCTTTTGCTTTACCAATCAAGATCTGTCACAGAAATAAAGTCCCCAGAGCATATAATTCACTTACCAATCACAGAGAACAAGTTCAAATCATGCAATTTTTTCTACCAGCATGCAATTGCTAAGTTCACAGCATATAATTCACTTACCAATCAAGATCAATAACAGAGATCAAGTTCAAAGCATGCAATTTTCTTCTCCCAGCATTCAAACCAGATTTTTTAGAAAAATTGAGGCAGATGCACATCCTCATAATTTTGAGACAACGTGAGCTTATCTCTACTGACTTTTTTTTTCCCCCCTAAAAAAAGTGAAGTAAACAGGAAAACTAACACAAGCATATCCCAAATAAAAGGCAGGACCAACGCTCATTGTCTTCAGTTCAGTAATTTGTATCTCAAACTGCCCAAACCTCAGACAAGGAATGTTTTCCAACCACTTTGGCCAAAGCTACCAGGCTGTTGAGGCTATATAACTGCAACGACTGCAGGAAAGTGAGATGTTGAAGCTGAGGTAGCAGAGACTTTTGCTTATCCCATCCATTCAATTGCATGAATAACCAAGTCCATTCTACCCAACAGTTTAGGTCGAGAAATTAAACATACCTCACTCTCTGATCCGAAAGTGCTGCTGCAGCTACACAGAATTTATTGTGATGTTGGGGATGTGGGAAATATTGGCCCATTCGGGGCCGCTCTCTTCGGCGCATCTTTCTTCTAATTTGGGACAACCCCAAATGCTAAGAGATTGTAAGTTGGAGAGGCGTTGGATGGCTTCAATAGAAGGCAGATGAGTCAAATTAGAGCAATTCCTAATCTCCAGCCTGTGAAGAGAAGAGAGGTCTCCCAACCACTCTGGCAAAGCTTCCAGGCCATTGAACTCCCATAACCTCAATTGCTTGAGGGCAGTGAGATGTTGAAGCTGATGTGGCAGAGTCTTTAGTTTATCCCATCCGATCAATTGCAATTCTTCAAGGGAAGCGTGGAGTTGATGGATGAAAGTGAGCCCTGGATAGTCCTCCAACTCTGACCAGAAAGGACCGATTTTTAACTCCTTCAACTGGGTATTCCTACCCAGCCACTCCTCTGGAATGCTCCTTAGATTTTTGCAACCAGTAAGCTCCACAAAAGTAAGCGAACTTGATCTTCCAACATCTTCTGAAATAGAGATTAGATTGTCACAATCGACAATAGTCAACTCTCCGAGAGAGATGCAAGATTCCAGCCCTGACACACAAACCAGTTCTTCACACCAAGAAATTTCTAATGTTGGAAGAGAGATCATCTCCTTCATGCTCAGAGAGGACATACAGCACCGTTTAAGGCGCAAATACTCTAGAGAGATGCAGGAGCCCAGCCCACTTGGGAGAGATCCTAATTTGGTTAAGTCTAAACTTTCAAGAGACAAGAGCCGTTCCATACTTGGAAGAGTCACCAGGTTCGGACAATTGAATATCTCCGCACATGAGAGCTTATGATGAGATGAAAATCCACTCATTGACCAGGTCTTTAACTTCGGAAGATTTCCAACATACAAATCCTCAAGGCAAGGAAAGATGGTGGTACCTTCTATTTCTGCCCATTCCTCTAGGATTTCCATGTCCCATATAGTGAGTCTTTTCAAAGCTGGGAACAATATGATTGATTTTTTGTCACCATAACTACTCCTGTCAAGACAAAACTTGCTGCCCATACGTTTCACCTTCGGCATTCGTCTTATTTCAAGATCCTCGAGCTTAGGTGTGAATCCCAAACTCAAAATCTCTACACATTCATTACAGTCATGTAATTTCAAAGTCAACAGATTGTTTAGTGGAGAGGAATCGCCAAAAAAATTAACACCCATCTCCAGCCACGACGGAAACTTTTCTCCCTTATAACCTTCAATTTTCAAGTATTTCAAATTTGAGGGAGGTCTTAGGCCTTCCAAAACCTCATAATTGTTGTAGTCTTCATTGTTTCTATTCCATCCAACTTCCAACTCATACAATTTTGTCTTCTTGTCCAAGTTTGCTTTGACGGCTTCTGATGACATAACTCTGGCAAATTCAAGGTTGCATATTTTCAATGCTCCTCCAAGTTGACTTAGGCATCCAAGTTGGTCCAAGTTTGCCCTACTCACAACAAATAATGGTAAGGTTTGAAGGGAAGTTAAATGCCCAATCTCTCTTGGCATCAGCTTCTCACTGTCAAAATAAACATGTCTTAAGCTAATCAGATTTCTAATCTCATCAGATATCTGTAGATGAAAGCACCCCATAAGTCTAAAATTTTGCAATTTGTAGAGTTTGAAAAAGGATGTTGGTAGTGTTTTTATTTTGCTCCTTGAGATGTCAAGGTATTTCAAATGCTTCAATTTGCCAAGAATAATGGGCAATTGTTCTCCCTTAGCTCCCACTATTTTTAAAGCTCGCAAGCTTTTGAGATCAGATGCACTGGAAATGAAAACATCAACCTCTTCCAAGAACAAAGAATGCAATCTTTGAGCAACAGCTCTAGGAATGATTGGACGCTCGTTCTTGTCATGCTTAACTCTTAAATGTCGAATTTTAGCATCCTGGTCAA